TTCATTACCTAATTTTAAATCTTTCAGAGCAAGATCGTAGTAAAAGATTTAGGTGTTTAATATATATATATATATATGGAAGAAAAATCTTGTATCTCCGGCTAACCAGAAGATTGTATCCAAAGATTACTAACTGATAAAATCATGAACAGACTAAATTCTGATTTTTTTACTATTCCCGCCAATACAATTACTGATAACTATATCTTTATTGTGCTTATCACCCCAAGTTTATCTTTCATTACCTAATTTTAAATCTTTCAGAGCAAGATCGTAATAAAAGATTTAGGTGTTTAATATATATATATATATATGGAAGAAATTAAAGAATTTCCTGAGGTATGCGATGCTCAAACAAAGGAAAAACAGCAATACATGGCTACATGGAAGAAATTGGCAACTCTAGGGAGTGGGTCTTATGGTACAGTTTATCTTAGTGCTGTGAATCTTTCGGGCGCGAATCAAATGGGAAGATTGTAGCTGTTAAGAGTTCAAGTCCTTTCTCTTACTCGGTTGCTTCACTCAAGAAGGAAAAGAAAATACTGGAGCTATTCAAGGGTTGCAAAGAAATCATTCAATGTTATTTTGTTCAATACGCTATTGAGAAATACTATGTCTCATAATATTTTCATGGAACTTGCTCCTTATGGTTCTCTTGGTGAATTAATTAGAAAGGGAGGAGCACTATTCGAGGCTACCGTTAGAATTTACACACATATGCTCCTGAAAGGACTTCATTGTATTCATGAAAAAGGAGTGGTTCATTGTGATTTAAAACCATACAACATTCTTATGTTTCCAACATGGAAGAGTCAAACATGGAATCAAGTGAAGATTGCTGATTTTGGGTTGGCCAAGACTAGAGAAGAGGCAGATGCTGAGTTAGGACTTAGAAAGCTGAAATTTAGAGGAACAGCTTGTTACATGTCACCAGAATCAGTTATTGGTGTGATTGGAACTGCATTGGATATATGGTCTCTAGGGTGCATTGTAATTGAAATGATGACTGGATTGGATGCATGGAACAACATTGAAAGCCGAAAGGATCTAATGTTGAAGCTTGCATTACACAGAGAAGCACCACCAATACCTGAGGGAATGAGTTGGGTCTGTAAAGATTTTTTGAGCAAGTGTTTTGTCAAGAATCCGACACGCAGATCCACTGCCGCAATGCTTCTCAACCACCCTTTTATTAATTCTTCATATGACAATAACATGCAGACCAGCCACACAGATTATCAAACCCCTTCTCAATCTGTCACTAATTCATCTTTATTTTCATATGATCTTTTTGATTACCTACCACGTTACTAATTAAGGCATGACATATATGTATATGCCAAACGGTTTATTATTGTATTTTATGTGTTTGTTAAACTCTTTAGTTTTGTTCTGTTTAAATTTTTTACTTAAGTAATATATATGAATAGAGTTTGCTTCAGCACGGCCTGCAAACTTTGCTTGTTCCTTCTGATCTGATGCATTACTTATTACTGCATATAACAATGTGAGACTAATTTTATCACATGCAGACCCACATTTAACTTCTTCTCGATCTGTCACTTGTTCATCTTATTACTTTCTCATATGATTTTTTGATAATCCATACTTCTACATTTGTTTAAAGATATTATTTTCTGTTACTCTTTAATGTATTAAAATATGTTGGGTTCTTGTTCCACTACTTTTGTTATACACGGAACTTATAGGATACCTTTTCATTTGATTCATTAGAAAGAGTTATGGGTTTTTTTTGTTAGTTTTTCAAACGAAATTAATACTAATTGATTTTCCTGCCAACTAATGAAATGTTTTGTTTTATTATAAAATAGTTAAACTATTATATAATAGTTTACTACGAATTACAATCCAATTTACCTATTATATTGAGATTTTGTCTACGACCTATAGCTAAATATTATTTTCAGCTTTAATTATAAATAATAGAACACAAATTATTGAAGAAAAGTATTAAATTATTTAGTATTGTTTAAATTCTAATTCAGAAACACCCTTTAGTTTTACTGATTGTTGTACACTTATATTTAATGTTAATACTTGCAATGAATGGAAAGCGAATGCATTAAAAATAAAATTAACTATAAATTAAGAATATTAAAAAGAAATCTCTAAGTAACTTTAAAAACTGTTGATTACTATTTATAATTAGGATAAAATAATTAATTTATTATTTATAACTAAAATTGAAGGTAGTATATTATTGTTCCAATTATTAATAAACATGATGACTAAATTAGCTTCTAATTTTTATTTCTTGATTAATCTTTTCATTACATAAATGGAAAATTGTACCCAAATATTTACATGGATTTACTAGCTAATAAATTATCATTAGACTAAATTCTAATTTCATAATATTTACATGGATTTCCTAGCTAATAAATTATCATTAGACTAAATTCTTACTACTTAAGATATGCCTGGTTCACCCATCTTAGGATCCGTCTTTATTCAAAGAATGCTTGAGTTCTTGAAATCGGAAAGGCCTCAAATTTTGCCTCATAAAGAAAGGCTTCACTTTATGTTTTTATAAAATAAAACACTCTAATCGAAGACAATTATTTAAAAATTTAAATATATTTTTAGTTCTTACAAAATGAACAAATTTTAATTTTAGTTTTTAGATTTGTTTTTTTTTTTAGTTTTTCATTCTTCTAAAATTCCAAATTATTATTTTAGTTCCCTTTTAGTATTATTATATAACTTTTTTTTAACTATTATATGTTAATTAGAAGGTTAATTATGTTATCATTTTAAGTAATATTCATAGCTGTTTATTATATTTTATCTGCATGTATACTTCTATTTTTTTTAAATCCTTAAAATAGGTGTTATATATAACTTAAAATGGTTATTAGGGACTAAAAAAATAATTTTAAATTTTAAAGACATAAAAATAAAAAATATATATTTTACAGACATTAAAGCCAATTTTATTTTCATTTTACATCGTAAACAATATTTCTAAGTCTTAAAAGGATGAAAACACATAAATTATTTTACAAAAAATAAAATTACAACTCAATTATTTTATAAAAATTCAAAATATATTTAAGTATTATTTAATTTAATAATATTTAGGATGAATATTTTAATTTATATTTGTATCTTTCGTTTAAATGTTGAATTGTTTCAATCATTAATAAAGCTATGATAATTCAAAAATAATATCGTCATCAAAATATTCGATAGATTTTGGCAGATAAGTCAAAAGAAGCTACCATAATATAGTTTATATATATATCAAACAGTTTATTAATGTATTCAATATGTTTTTTGTCAAGCAATGTAAAGATAATGTAAAGATATATACACAAACTCTACATTTTTATGATGTACTTTCTTTTGTTGAAATTATAAACTAAAGGCATTGTTCTGTTTCAATTCTATACTTAAGTAATATGAATAGAGTTTTCTTTGATACCTGCAGAGCAAACTTTGCTTGATCCTTCTAGGTACTTAGCTCTGACAATATGTAAGAAATGTTAGTAATAACATATATTTTGACTCATTCTTTCTTATACATTACTGAGTATATATTATTATACAGACCTCATTGAAAAAAGAGTGGACCTAATTTTATTATTTGTGGAACTAGTGTGAAATTTTCTCCATATGAAAGGATGTCAAAGCATTGCTATATGGAAGTCGCAGAAGATAAAATTGAACAACACTACTTGCATGTAATCTATCATTCTTTAGTTGCTTGGAATTTATCCTTCTAATTTGTTTTATTTGAGGTATCTGTAAAGCAATTTCATATCCAAAATAAGTTGAAGAAAAAGAAAACAGAAAAATATTCTTAAAACCAAAGAAAAATGTCATAACTGTTAAGTCAGATGAAGAAATTTCCAACAAAGTTTTAAACATGACAAATACAATACATATTGTTATTTCTAACATGTGTGTTAGTGTTTCAGATAAATATAAGAACAGACAGAACTAAAAAACGAAGTACGTGTTATTAGACATACTATGGTCAAATCAAACGAAACTTGGTTAAGGCATACAAAGTATCAGACAATGGTTGATCAAGCATCAAGACTAAGCCTGATCAAAAGCCAGAAGAAAATACATCAAATACTAGATAAGGCGTAATACCAGTCGAAGTCTTAAAGTATCAGACGAAAGGCCAAAACAAGCATCAAACAAGGCTAAATCAAGAACAAGACAAAAGTTGGTTAAGCACCGAATAAAGTTCGTACAGACATCAGATAAAGCTTAATGGTCAACCAAGACAAAGGTCAACAATGTATCAGACGATGGATAACACAAGGCGAAGAAACATTCTAGATGGAATTAAAGTCTTTCATCTTCACAACTGACCAGACGAAAAGAAAAGTCAAACCAGACGAAAGGAAAAGTCAAGTCAAACGAAAGGAAAAGTCAAAGTCTATCTCTCAAACGGAGACTCAAATTCCAGACATAGACGAAGAATACTAAAAAATGTCTGAAGTCCACTACTCACAACAAGAGATATCATATATCGTCTACACTCATAGAAGAGCACACGAAGTCATCAAAATTATGAGAAGAAAGAAGAAAGATAAACAAGCACGTATCCACAAGTCAAAGTTGCGAGTGTCAGAGACAGTACACCTACTTTTCAAAAAAAGACAATGCTACTACAGCTACAATGACAGAAAGAGAATAGAAATACCTAGGTTATGATTGAAGTCTGACATAAAAGTGAACAAACTACGCAAAAGACTTCACATAACATAGATTTAGTAAGAAAATATTTAATGCAAGATCAAATGCATTAAATGAAAGATCTACATAGCCATGAACGAACTACTATCTGCGCCAACGGGAAGCTCCGCTCCAACTGACCATTTCAAATTCAAACAACAGGCAGATTTATCACGAGGCTATAAATATAATACCTAACAAGAGAAGAAGAGAGAGAAGAGAAGCAAAGAGCAATAAGAAAAAGTCAACATCAAAGCAAACTTATATCTCTTCCTTTACAGTCTTGTATATCTGTGTAAAATATAAGATAGGTTATCTTAGTGAGTGTAGAAACCATCCTATCCTCTCTGTGAGAGTAATACACACACTCAAACACATATCATTGTAAAACTAAGGTTGCATACCTTAGCGAGTGTAGAAACCATCCAATCCTCTCTTTGAGAGCTATACACACACTCAAAATATCTATTTGCTGTAAAGCCTAAAGAAGCTAGTTGAAAGAATACTTGGTGAACCAGAAGTGGTTTAAGAATACTAGTGCTGACGAGTGAAGTTGGCGAACTAGGAGTGATTGATAATACTTGGAGAACCAGAAATGGTTTAAGAATACTAGCGCTGACGAGTAAAGTTGGTGAACCTGAAGTGGTTGATAATACTTGTAATCCATTGTGATTAGTGGAACCCTTCAGTTGAAGGAGACTGGACATAGCTCAGGTCGAGCAAACCAGTATAAAACACTTTGCACTTTCTATCTGTTCTCAGACACAATTTTTGTTTAAGCTGATATATCATATTGAAAATTTCATCCACTACTTATTTTCACCACAACTATCTTTAAACAAAAAATACTCTTGCTTAACTTATTATTTTAAGAAACATCTTTCTTGTGCAGACGATAAACTTTCAGACGCAAAATACCTCTTCTGAGCCAACCTTGCACAGTTTTTAAAGTGTTCAAAATAATATTTTTACTGGACGAAAAAGAGTCTCTCTACGAAAACGATTTTAAAGTTCTTTCATTCACACAGACATTCAACCCCCTTCTATGTGTTTTTCTGCTAACTTTAATAACCTCATGACACAAGTAAAAGTTTTTCTCCTTAGAACATTATGTAATGATTATGCAACTAGGATTGTCATGTGGAATCTGAATGACTCCGTTTGTATACCGTAGGAAAGCGAGTAGAGGAAAGAGGATTCACATGACTAGTTTTAGATCCAAAGGTTTCTGTATAATAAACATGAGAATTTCACTACTAAAAAATTTCATTTTCTTACGAATTTTCATAATAAAAAATATTCGTACAATTTTTTTATAAATTTTCTTGCAATAATAATTTGAAAAAAATTGTAAATTTATCTACGAAAAATAATTTATAAATATTTCTTACAATTTTTTTTATAAAAAATAATCTACAAGAAATTTTTTGAAATTTTGCTACAATTTTAATGATCATAGAAATTGTTTTCCATGGTAAAAATTTGCAGTAAAAATTTAATTTTGTTTCTTGTAGATTTTCTTGTAAAATTTAAATTCGCAAGTAATGTTTACTAAATGCTAGAAAAATTTTGCAGATAATTTTTCTTACGGATTTTTCTAC